CAATATCACTTCGTCCAACAATTAATTATTATGATTTTATTTTCCGTATATCGTAAACCGCGACTTATAATTACTTTCCTACATTAACCAGGCAGTCGTGAGCCGTCACGCTGAAAATCATGAAAACGAATCCTGGAAAACATGTTCAATGTTATAACCGTAATGACAAACACCCTCAGTGCAATTTCTACCGAGTGCAAATTAATAAAACAAGTGCAGAGCCTGGAAACGGGGCAGGAAAAATCAACATGGCGGCAAATGTTAGCATGCATGTATATTCTCAGTTTTTGACGACTTTTTGTACATTTTCAATTCTGTTCGTATACCGTTAATGTAATAACTGAATACAAGGCGGACGTAGACTGAAAAAGTTTGCTAACAGGCAATGAAAACAATGCTTCAAACTGTTCAAAGGCGCAAGTGAATACGAAAGTGTTATTGTGTGTTGTGTTGTTTTGTCATGTATTTCACTAATGAGCTAGTAACAGTATCGTTTCTCGTCCTGTTTGGGAAAACGTACCCTCGTGAGGTTTTCAAAGACTTCGTATTGCACTCTTTCTTCGAACTCGTGCAATTTTGATTGTCTATGAAAAACTTATTCGTACATGTACAATAATTCCATCTTTTACATCATGAATATGAAAATATATTTACTATTGCACTCATAAACATTCATTATTTGTATAACAGTATGAACAAACAGTAACTGTATGAATACTTGTACTTCATTGATTTATTCGCTCTTTTGAATCAAAGAAATCTAGCTAAGTGTTAGTTTACAGCTTCATATAAGACTGTTTGTAGGGAAAATTGTTTAATTTATCATATATAGTTAAAATCTTAAACCATGGACTATGCTGATATCTTTGGGATGAAATTTTGATTCTCTACTCTGTGAACTTTGATGATTGATAAAGAATATGATTGTACTTTAGGGTCGTAGGAAGCACCAAAAGGTTGGGGGTACCGACTTCTAGGGGCACTTTGGATGATAAAAAGGGCCCGACATAAAGTCGAAGCTAGACCGGCATTAATAAGCTCGTAGCAACTTGTTGCGAACAGCCTGTATTGGTCTTGTTGGAACAACTTGTGGCAAGTGGATCTGTTACCGTTATCAACCTTGTCAACGTGACAAGAAATTGTTTCAGATATGTCACAGCAACTGGGAACAGGCAGTGCAAACACATCCTACCGTATCGTTTTGACAACAACCTTGTTACAATTTGTTTACAGATCTGCATAGTTAACTTGCGCGTTCTTACGTGTGTAGTTCATATTCAATTTTTCAATTTCATTATTATAGTCTTCTCCTTCGGTTCTTCTTGTCTTGTGAATCTGTATGTAGTTAGATAGTACTTGATACTCAGCTGATTTCAACAATTTAGCGTGGCTAGCTAGTCAGTACCGTGGTATTTGTTGTTCTCTACTTCTGACTCGTGTCATTCTCTCATTCACTCAAGCGAGTATAGTAATTTCCTAAGATACCTTCACAACCTTGTTCCAGACTTTTCCGCGCAGTTTTGGTAAGTACGTACATTTTCCCAATTGCATTGAAATAAACGAATCGGAGTCTCGACTGCGCCGCTGTTCTGTGACAGAACTGACGCGACGTTGTTAATCGCAACATCTGAGAATAATGTAAGTCGTTGTAATGTTGGCCTGATTTCAGTTACTGCCTATTCTGCATTTTCAATATTTGTACATCGGTTAGTTAGTTTTAAGACATTTGTCTATATACCTC